CTTTTGTAGATCATCAACCTGATGATCGGGTGTTCACGCTTCTGTGTGACATGTGCCTCCCTCAAACCTTGTTATAATGTTGGCACATTACCCATCTGACATGACGAAAAGAAGAAAAAAAACCATATTTTTTTCTCTACTTTATTCCAGACCTGAATAAACAATTGCTTCCTTGATGTCTTCATTTGCATATCTATTTGCCTGTCCAATTTCACATGTCTAAAAATGAGACCTTGAGCTATCTCAACTTGTTCAATCCCTCATTTTCCCTTTTTTAATAAATGCACCACCAATCCACCTGGCTGTTCCAACGCAAAGCCTGGCATTCGTTGTTTATTTCTCATGTCCTGTTCATCACCAGTCCCTGCTGATTCTATCTCTTAAACACCTCCGCAGCCCCTGCCTCTTCCGCCTGCTTCTCTCCCCAGCCACCTTTGCTCTAGTCCAAGTCACCATCAGATTGCAATTTCCTGGTCTTTCTATTTTCACTTTTGCCCCTTTATAATTCATTCTCCTCAAAGCCTTTGTGTAAATCATATCCTGTCTCCTCTGCTTGAGAACCATCATTGGCTTCACATCTTAACACCCTTAAGGTAAAACCTGAACACCTCACCCTCCAATACATCACCCCTCGCTTCTAGTTTAGCCTCATCTTGTACATCTCTCCCTAATGCCCACTCTTCCCAACACATGGCCTTCTTTATCATCCTTGAACACCCATGACCTTTCTAGCTCTGGGCTTTTGAACTTGTCTGCCAAGAATACTCTTCTCCTGTTTTTAGCATGACTGGCTCATTCTTGGCTTTGAATTCTCAGTTGAAAAATTACCTCTTCAGAGGGAAACTTTCCCAACCACCCTCTTTAAAGTTTCATCCCCAGCCTCATTTCTGACATAGCATTCCATTTTTTTTCTTCAAAGCATTTACTGTAATATGTAAATGCCTTTGTTATTATTTACTGTTAAAATGAGATATTTTGTCAAGATCATTTCTAAATCCTCTGTGCCAGGCACTATGATAAACACCCAATAGCTTCTCAACGTACTTGTTGCATAAACAAATGACCCCTACTCGTCACTGAGAATATCTGAATTTAGATCTGACAAGATTAATCTCCTGGCATGAAATCAGTGTTCAGTGGAGTGCTGGGAAGTGTGAACCTGTCACAGCAAGTGGCATTGGCATCTCTGCGCCTCTGTCTCCCTTCACTTGAGAACTGGCACTTCTAAAGGTGTGATTTTACTCACACTTAATATATGCTGGAGAGGATGGATATAAACAGAGGGCTTTTCTAAAGCTAAGAAATGAGTCTCTTTCACAAAAGAACTAAAAACAACTCTGATTCATGAATTCGCTAATGCCTTTTCCCTCCAGGGGATCCTCCCGGTGCAGAGTGAAACCTCTCTTGGGGCACAGCCTCTGCCAGAGATGCAAAGGTAACCAAGGAACGTCAGCCCTGCCTGTGGGCTGGCGGCGAGCACCAGCCAAGCTTATCCCAAGAGGTTACTCAGATGGTGGTGCTGCCACCGTGTCAGATGTGCACCTTCTGGCAGAATGCAGTTTCTTTCTCACACTTCTCTAAGGTTTGTTTTGAAGAGTTACTGACCTAGTTGACAGCCTCACAAATAAAAATGGCAACAATGAAAACAGACATGCAAATGAATACTTCATTACAACTTCTGAAAACAAAGACAGAAAGAATCATGAGTGAATCAATTTACAATCCAGAAAATAATTACAGATAATTGGACAAGGGTTAAAAGAGTATCTTCTATACTGTATTTGTTGGTGGTTTCCTATTCTTTACTTCAAAATTGTTTTTGAATGGAGCAACTTGCTTGCATGGAAGTCTAAACTACTTAATCACACAGCCTGTAAATAGGAAAACTATTGACTGGGTGACTCCTACATTTGCTTTCTTGCCTTTCACTGAAGCATGAGAGGTGAGGGAGGGAGTGGAAACGCCCAGTGCAAACAGAGAAAGGAAGCAGAGGCTGCTGCCTGGAGGGCCTGGGAAGGGACCAGTCTGGAGAAGAAGATGCAGTAAGATGCCAGCCTCTCTCCTACCCATGTGACACCTAAGCCCTGCCCTACGTAAACAGGAGCCTTAGTTCCCTGCTCTGGAAGCCAGTGCTGCTGAGAACCGCTCTGTGCAGTACAAAGAACTCTTACATGAATCTTGGGAGTTTGAGAGCTACTTTATGTATTATTCCCATAATCATCATCTATGAACTCTTATAATGATTTAATATGAACAAGAAGCAACACAAAAATACCTTGCAGTTGTAAACTAATTAATTTTGGTCAAAGTCAGCTAAAAAGAGAGAAACTGAGGCAGAGTAGCAAAGTCAACCCCACCTGGAAGTGGCAGTCTGAAAAGATCAGACCACTGCTCCTTCACTAGATTCCAACCTGTCTGATCTAGTAAAGAAAAACTAGATGGTCTTTGGCAGAAATGAATGGAAAACCATTCTTATTGCCTTTTTCCTGGAAAGTTAGAGAAAGCATCCCTCACAGTAAACCTTGGCTCCTACCCATATACTGTCAGGTGGTTTTCCTGGTAACATAACTTAGTTGCTGAGGCCACCTTTCTCACTGGGCTGTGAAGACTGAGTGAGATAGTACGCACAAAGCACCTGGAATGTGGCTGCCACATATTAGATGCTCAGTAAACATAGCTACTATTTTTATCAACACTCTTATATACCCCTTTTCACTCAGCCCTCCTCCTTTTCCTTGTCTGTGCAATAAGCAGACATTCCAGATGAATTCTCAGGGAGGTTGGGAGAAAATGAATTCCAGGGTGCGCTTCCTAGGATTATGGTACCTCTTGAGATGCCACCATTATCTGGTTCTCTCTTCAATGGGCTGCTGCCTAAGTTCCTAGGACATCCCTGGGAAACTTCTGATGGGAAAGGCCAGGGGACACTTCCCATCCCTTCTCTACTATCACTTTTCATCCTAGGATAGTTGCAGCCTAGCCCTCCCAGGTTTGCAAAGGGAGGCATGGGATTCTCTGGGGACTTACACTGGAGTACAATTTAAATTGGAAGCTCTCAAGACATCTCAAAATGCTTTGTCTATTTTTTTTTTTAAGTGGAGAATGGAGAAGCTGGCGAATGGGTGTTTGTAAATACAGAGGGACAGCATCTGATTTGACTTTTTCATGACCGTTTCTGACTGAGTGGCGGCACAGCATTCTGTGTTGTGTGTGGTGAGACGGGATGCGTTTGCTTATTGATGAAATGCACTGCGCAGATCAGCTCCGTAAACCGAAAAGAGAAAAGCTGATTGCGAGAGTGGAGGGGGTGTGGTAACAGGGTGCTGGTGCTTGTTTAACCGTGCATGGGAATGTGCGAAAAGGGGAGGCGTGCCAGGGGAGCGCGGGAAACATTAGTGGTGAGGCAAGTGTGTCTCTTTCCCCGGCGCCCCGGCGCCCCGGCGCTCGGCGCCCCTGGCTGGGCGAGCGGGGTGCTGTGAGAGTGGGGACAGTAAGATGCCAGCCTCTCTCCTACCCATGTGACACCTAAGCCCTGCCCTACGTAAACAGGAGCCTTAGTTCCCTGCTCTGGAAGCCAGTGCTGCTGAGAACCGCTCTGTGCAGTACAAAGAACTCTTACATGAATCTTGGGAGTTTGAGAGCTACTTTATGTATTATTCCCATAATCATCATCTATGAACTCTTATAATGATTTAATATGAACAAGAAGCAACACAAAAATACCTTGCAGTTGTAAACTAATTAATTTTGGTCAAAGTCAGCTAAAAAGAGAGAAACTGAGGCAGAGTAGCAAAGTCAACCCCACCTGGAAGTGGCAGTCTGAAAAGATCAGACCACTGCTCCTTCACTAGATTCCAACCTGTCTGATCTAGTAAAGAAAAACTAGATGGTCTTTGGCAGAAATGAATGGAAAACCATTCTTATTGCCTTTTTCCTGGAAAGTTAGAGAAAGCATCCCTCACAGTAAACCTTGGCTCCTACCCATATACTGTCAGGTGGTTTTCCTGGTAACATAACTTAGTTGCTGAGGCCACCTTTCTCACTGGGCTGTGAAGACTGAGTGAGATAGTACGCACAAAGCACCTGGAATGTGGCTGCCACATATTAGATGCTCAGTAAACATAGCTACTATTTTTATCAACACTCTTATATACCCCTTTTCACTCAGCCCTCCTCCTTTTCCTTGTCTGTGCAATAAGCAGACATTCCAGATGAATTCTCAGGGAGGTTGGGAGAAAATGAATTCCAGGGTGCGCTTCCTAGGATTATGGTACCTCTTGAGATGCCACCATTATCTGGTTCTCTCTTCAATGGGCTGCTGCCTAAGTTCCTAGGACATCCCTGGGAAACTTCTGATGGGAAAGGCCAGGGGACACTTCCCATCCCTTCTCTACTATCACTTTTCATCCTAGGATAGTTGCAGCCTAGCCCTCCCAGGTTTGCAAAGGGAGGCATGGGATTCTCTGGGGACTTACACTGGAGTACAATTTAAATTGGAAGCTCTCAAGACATCTCAAAATGCTTTGTCTATTTTTTTTTTAAGTGGAGAATGGAGAAGCTGGCGAATGGGTGTTTGTAAATACAGAGGGACAGCATCTGATTTGACTTTTTCATGACCGTTTCTGACTGAGTGGCGGCACAGCATTCTGTGTTGTGTGTGGTGAGACGGGATGCGTTTGCTTATTGATGAAATGCACTGCGCAGATCAGCTCCGTAAACCGAAAAGAGAAAAGCTGATTGCGAGAGTGGAGGGGGTGTGGTAACAGGGTGCTGGTGCTTGTTTAACCGTGCATGGGAATGTGCGAAAAGGGGAGGCGTGCCAGGGGAGCGCGGGAAACATTAGTGGTGAGGCAAGTGTGTCTCTTTCCCCGGCGCCCCGGCGCCCCGGCGCTCGGCGCCCCTGGCTGGGCGAGCGGGGTGCTGTGAGAGTGGGGTGGGAGGGGGCAGCAGGCGGGGCCTGCCACGTCATTTGGAGAGTGTGTGTTGGGAAGAAGGGCAGAGCGGAGAGCCGAGCCGCTGCAGCTGCGGCGGCTGCAGCAAAGGCTTGAGCGGTGGGGAGGTGGGTCCCCGCGCCCCGGCCGGGGCAGCCTCAGGGTTCTCTTTGGCCTGCGGCGCGATTCCTAGGGGGGAAGTGGCGGCCGTGACGGCGGGAAGGGCGACCTTGGCCCGACCGAGCCCGCGGTGGACATAGGGAGGAGGCCGAGCCCCGCCAGGAGTCTGTGCCGAGCCAGAGGGAGGCGCATCTGGCGCTTCGGTACCAGCGGCAGCCGGGGGTCCGGAGCGGCTGGAGAAGCGCGGAGGGCGCTGAGAAGAGCTCACCGGCCCGGAGGGCGGACCCCAGCGCCGGGGAGCCGTAGGGGCTCAGGCTCGGCGGGGGGCGCACCCCGCGGCTTTTCGAGCATCTCGTTTCGCACGAGCCAGTTGGCGACCCCAGGTATCCCAGACGCTCTAGCACCCGGGCGCGTATAACTGGAGGTGCGGGGCTAAACCCTCCGCTCCCAGGTCACCTCCGCAGACCTAGCCTTGCAGAACCCGGGGCTTCGGGGCTCAAAAACCCAGCCGCCAGGCCAGACCGCGAGCTCGGAGGAGCGCGAGCCCCACCCTAAAAGAGGGCGCAGCCGAGCGCGGGGAAGCGCTGCTGCGCTCCAGAGGCTGGGTCGTGGGCGCCGTCCTGGTGGCGGCGAGCGCACCGCGGGCGGGGGGGACATGAGATCGGAGAAATCCCTGAAGCTGGTGGCGCCGGGGGAGGCCCGCGGGCCGGACGGGGAGCAACAGGATGCGGGAGACTTCCCGGAGGCCGGCGGGGGCGGCGGCTGCTGTAGTAGCGAGCGGCTGGTGATCAATATCTCCGGGCTGCGCTTCGAGACACAATTGCGCACCCTGTCGTTGTTTCCCGACACGCTGCTGGGGGACCCCGGTCGCCGCGTCCGCTTCTTCGACCCCCTGAGGAACGAGTACTTCTTCGACCGCAACCGGCCCAGCTTCGACGCCATCCTCTACTACTACCAGTCCGGGGGCCGCCTGCGCAGGCCGGTCAACGTGCCCCTGGACATATTCCTGGAGGAGATCCGCTTCTACCAGCTGGGGGACGAGGCCCTGGCGGCCTTCCGGGAGGACGAGGGCTGCCTGCCCGAAGGTGGCGAGGATGAGAAGCCGCTGCCCTCGCAGCCCTTTCAGCGTCAGGTCTGGCTGCTCTTTGAGTACCCTGAGAGCTCAGGGCCCGCCAGGGGCATCGCCATCGTCTCCGTGTTGGTAATCCTCATCTCCATCGTCATCTTTTGCCTGGAGACCCTGCCGCAGTTCCGTGCAGATGGGCGAGGTGGGAGCAATGGTGGAGGTGTGAGCAGAGTCTCCCCAGTTTCCAGGGGTAGTCAGGAGGAAGAGGAGGATGAAGACGATCCCTATACCTTTCATCCGGGCATCACCCCTGGGGGCACGGGGGCAAGGGGCTCGTCCTCGCTAAGTATTCTTGGGGGCACCTTCTTCACCGACCCCTTCTTTCTAGTGGAGACCCTGTGCATTGTCTGGTTCACCTTCGAGCTGCTTGTGCGCTTCTCCGCCTGCCCCAGCAAGCCCGCCTTCTTCCGGAACATCATGAACATCATCGACCTGGTGGCCATCTTCCCCTACTTCATCACCCTGGGCACCGAGCTGGTGCAGCAGCAGGAGCAGCCATTGGCCAGTGGGGGGGCCGGCCAGAATGGGCAGCAGGCCATGTCCCTGGCCATCCTCAGAGTGATCCGCCTGGTCCGCGTGTTCCGCATCTTCAAGCTCTCCCGCCACTCCAAGGGGCTGCAGATCCTGGGCAAGACCTTGCAGGCGTCCATGCGGGAGCTGGGCCTGCTAATCTTCTTCCTCTTCATCGGAGTCATCCTCTTCTCCAGCGCCGTCTACTTCGCTGAGGCCGACGACGACGATTCTCTCTTCCCCAGCATCCCGGATGCCTTCTGGTGGGCAGTGGTTACCATGACCACTGTCGGTTACGGGGACATGTACCCCATGACAGTGGGGGGCAAGATCGTGGGCTCGCTGTGTGCTATCGCGGGGGTCCTCACCATTGCCCTGCCCGTGCCTGTCATTGTCTCCAACTTCAACTACTTCTACCACCGGGAGACGGAGCAGGAGGAGCAGGGCCAGTATACCCACGTCACTTGTGGGCAGCCTGCACCAGACCTGAAGGCAGCTGACAGTGGACTTGGCAAGCCTGACTTCTCTGAGGTCACCCGGGAACGGAGACCCAGCTACCTTCCCACTCCACACCGGGTATATGCGGAGAAGAGGATGCTCACTGAGGTTTGACTGGTGCGGCCAGGCCTGCACAAGAGAGATGACACCTTCTCACTCTACAACTCTCACCCGGGCTCCACTTGACTTCCCGACTCCTTCCCCAACACCAGTACATGGCAGCCAGGATCAAATGCCTGGACTGTCAGCCTTGTTGCTAATCCCTGCGGCATTCAAGGTTTATCCATCAAAATGACATTTAAAAAATTCTAACGGTGCCACCCATTCATGCTCATCTTCTGTCACCTGGATGAGATGTCCATCTGATCCTTCCTCAAGACTCTGATTTTTCATGTCTGGTACTTGTAGTATCTCTAAGCACAGATGTTCACAGGATGGAACCCAGGCAGACCAGGGCTCTGTTTCTCTTCTTAGTGTCCTTTGCTTTGGCCCATGCACCTGTCTTAGCTTCCGGCCACATGGGAACCTGCAGAAGCTGGAGGACAGGAACAGTACTCATGTTGCTGTTTTATTCCCTGTAGCACTTGCTGATCATCTTGCAGAGGACCCTTTGCAGAGCCTTTAGTGTTATTCATATTTCATCTTGGATGTAATCAGAGAAACTACAATTAAACTTGGCCATTTGGAGGGTGTTAAGAGTCAGTCCTGGACCAAACAGGCCAATGGATTCTTCCAGGTGTGCTGTAGCACAGTAGACATCAGTCTTTGGCCTACATTTAATCCTCCCTACTCTGATCCCCTGACTCTCTCTCACTTCCAGGAAGGTTCCTTCTCAAAGCCAAATACTCTTTTTGTGCAAGTGCCTTCCTGTGCACAGGAACTGGAAAAAGAGCCAGGAGAAATGGCTGAACCAGGTCAAACAACTGGCTTGACCGCACATCTGAAGAGTACCATTGAAACAGACATTGCCATCCTGGAGGGGCAGAGGAACCTTGTGGCAGACAGCAAATTTCTCCCTTTTGCTACCCCCCCACCCCCTAGACTTCCACCCTTCCTCCTGAGAATTTGACTAAGGATCACAGGGGGTGCTTTCTAAAGCCACCTGCAGCTTAAACCTGCAGATAGGTAAAAGCACACGTTGTAGGCTAAGATGGGCTTCTTCCCCTTTCATGGTCAATTGCATAAGTTTAGAGGAGGGGAGAAGCATAGATCCTTTGCTGACAGCCTTCCAGTTAGAGGTGTTCTTGCTGAGTCAAGCAAATGTTCTCTGGCTCTGTCCCTCAGAGCTGCGCCAGTCTGTTCTAACTGGTAAGGTAGCCAGGTGGCCTTCCCACTTGGACTAAGCCATCTTCCATTGTGAACCTGCCCCCTTTCCTGCTCTACTCCCACCCCATTTCTTTCCTGGTAACATTGTCATTCATTTGTTGCCTTGATAAACTGTGATGCACTGTTCTGAGCTCTTCTGGGTGCAGTTCAGAAACCGAAAGGACTGTTAACATGTTTTTAATTTTGTATCTATGCTTTAAGTGTCTTTGATGAGAATTAAAAACAATTTTTTTTCTCAAAGAGCAACCTAGGAGGGATGACCTTTTGAAGGTTTTCTTGAGAGACACTGTGGCTCCTGTGGATGCCAGATCTGTCTGGATTTTACCACAGCTTTACAGGGTAACTTTGGCACCACAGGTCCTTTCTGTGCCTCAGTTTTCCCACCCATTAAATGGGAACACTAATGTCTTCCCCTCCTTACCTCATGGGGAGTGTTGAGAGACTCATCCAGAAAACTAGGGGTGATGCTATGCAAACATGTGAATCACAGTAAAGGACTTGTTTTTTAGTTTATTACCATTTCCCCATCTTCCAGAGACAAGGCCTCCCCCCAGGGTTCCTTCTTTGGATCCAAAGCCCCAGAATAAGTCATTCTGGGACATTAGCTCCTTAAATGCCGCCTTAGCCCCTTGGACTGAGCCTCAGTCTTTCCTACCCATCAGCAAGGAGGATTCTTTAAGTGGGCTCAGTGAGGTCCTCCCAGGGCCAGCGGCCACCTTGATTAGGAGCTTGGCTTCTCCAAACCTGAAATGCAGGAGGAGATAGAGGAGCTCTTGATTCAAAACCTGATTCAAAGCTCTTGATTCTGAGGCCTTAGCATGCTGGTTCTCCAAATCTTTTCAGTTACTCCTGGCTCTTTGGGGACAGAGAAGGGCCCACTCCCCAGGCAAACGGGATGCTCCCAGCGGAGGGTGAATGTTGGAACATGTATGTGTGTATCTCTACGGTGTGTATGTGACCATCCTCACGAGCGTCCCTAATATGACATTTCCTTGTAGAGTCAGAGCATGCCCAACAGGAAAGGGTTTGCGGGGAGTGGGGCTCTCCAGGGACTATGGTTGCCATAGCAACCTTCCAGACTGTTCTCTCTATCTTCTGATTTGGGCAGCAAGGGAGAACAGGAGACTACTTATTCCCAGCTTCTGAAATGGGAACACCTCCCACATACTGGTTTAGGGGCTCATAGCGCCAGGACAGGGAAGGGTGTTCTCCTTTGGAAAAGCCGGAGGGAAGCAGGTCCCTGAAACTCCCTCCTGGACCTTTCTTCCTGGTTTCCCCACCCTCATTTACTGAAGCTGCCTCATCTCACCTCTGATTCCTCAGAAACTTGAATGCAAAGCAACTGCCAGTTAAACCAATGTCAATATTATCTTTTTCAAAATGACAAAATGACATGCTCCTCCAGAGGCAGTCAGTCTGGGCCTTGCCGAAGGTGGTGATGGTTTGAGTCCGTCCTAGTATCATGGACTCTCATCTCCTCAGAGGGAGGCTCCTCTAAGCTCTGAGGAAGACAGAGAAATGGTGCCCCTTTGTCCCAAGAAACAGTCAAGTTCTGCTCCTAGGATCTCATAGGTGGCTCTTCCTGAGACGTCAAAGAAAAACAGATGCTGTGGCCTGACCTAGTTTCTGTGAAAGATTTTGCCAAGTGACCCCTCTCTGACTCTGAGCCTCTTTATGTGGGTTTTGTGCTGTGAGCATCCGGAGAATACATACTCTGTGCTGCCAAGAGAGCTGGGCTGGCGATTTCACAGCTGCCAGCAAAGATGGGGCTCAGGCCCTCGCCACACCTGACCCATGCCAGCCGGAGCCCCCTCAGGTCTCCTGGATCTGTCAGGCTGGCTGAGACATGGAGAGCCCTCCTGTCTGGCCGTGACCAAGGAGAGAGCAAGGGACAGCTGGCCCGCTTGCATCTGAGGTAGGTTTTACTGTTGTGGGATTTCATTTCTGGCTCAGTCCTTTGGGCCAAATTAGAATCTGGGGTGGGGAGGGGCAGAGAGGTTGGAGCGCATGCCTTTGGGGAAGTTCGAATCCAAGGTCTGGATGTCCCTTTCCTTGGAGGCCGCCTTGCTCTTTCTGTGTATGTCCCTTGATTCTGTCTCCTGTAGTCTCCTTCTCTGCCCTGTTCCCGCACTGCCTCCTCCCCTGCCCATTTTAATCCCTCCTTTTCTCTCCCTTTTCCCTTCCCTTCTTCTGTTCATTCTCTTTCTCTGCATTTCCCCCCCCTCTTCTTAATTTCTCTGTTTTGCCCTTCTGTCATTCTCACTTCTTCCTTGTATGTTTATCCTTCTCTCCCTCTCCCTTTCTCCACCTTCTCAGTGGCCAGAAGCAGCTATAGCATTTCTGTTGAGGTCACACTTTGAACTGCAGGGTAGCTATGATCTAGGTTTTTCTTAAGGTTGTTCTCCAGCTGGAGGAACCCTCTTCCCTTCCTGAATCTCAAAGGATAAAAGAGAGGAAAGAGAGAACCTGATAAGTCTCAGCTACATACCATGCTGCGTAGCCCTGGGATAGGTCCACGTCAGGGTCTCCTAACCTTAAGGAGCTCACAAAGAGGTTCAAGACAAAGGACCAGTAGAAACAGTAAAATGATCACAGAACAGAGGACTTAGGAGGAAGGGATGTGAGGGAATTGGCCTGGAAAAGCCTTGCCTCAAGGGGTGGCTGCTAACTGTGCCTGAGTCACTTGGAGGTTCCTATAGATCCAGCTGCCTCTTTTGTGCACTGAAGGCAGACAAAAGCCAGGACATATATTCCAGGGGTTCAAGGTGCCAGGGACACTCCTGGACAAGGCTGTGAGAAGAGCGTGCATACCCTCCGTGGTGGAGGGCATAGAGCAGGGGTGGCGCTGCCTGCTGCAGGACACTGGGGGCATTGGGAGGGTCATGGAAGTTTTCTAAAACAGGATTATGGTGATGGTGGTCTAACACTATAAATTAACCCCCAAAAGTCATTGAATTTTGGGGGTGGGGGAAAGTGACATGAGGCTAGCAACCTGGGAGTTTCACATCTGAGTTGGGAGAATGGTTTGGTTTTAAGCATCTAGAAGTCTGGCATCTCTAAAGATGGGCCAGACTGAATACGCAGGATGGAAGGACAGTGGTTCTCTGCCACCTGGGGACACTTCAGAGCTGTCACATAGCTGCTCCTTCACGCTCACAGACAGCACCGAGGACTGTGTGTTTTGTTTTGTTCTTGCGTTTCGACAATCAAGCCATTGTGTCATTGCTATGCTTGTCTCTTTTTGTTCAAGCAAAAGAAGGCTCTTGTGGTAAGTGCAGAGCATGATCAACGTGTATTGAACTAGGATGGCACGTTGGACATTATTCATTACATAGAACTAGGGCAGAGAACTTGCTGGAAGGATTTATATTTTGGTGGCAAAACAGAAACAAGAAACAAAACAACACATAAACCATAAAAACCTGCCTCACCTCAGTGCCTAGAAACTCAGAATTCCTTAAGAAACTGCTTGGGGGCCAAGGTTGAGCCCGGGACTCCTGGAGTCCAGGCCCTCCTCTTGCAATAGTTATGGACCCTGAAGAGCCAGCGTGGGGTCCCACAGTCCCTGGTGCTCCGGGTAAACAGAAGCGGGGTACGGTCTTCCGTGAGCTGCCCCTTCTCCGTGACTGTTCTTCACACTTTGTTCTCTGGCCTCACTTGCCTTTGCTCATGGGGTCCCTCCCTTCTCTGTCCTTGGTGATTTTCCTCACATGAGACCCTGCAGTCCTCTGCTTGTCATCCCTGCTCCCACTTTCTTTTGACAGTATTTCTGTCCCCTGCATCTCTACATGAATGATAAGATAGATTCCCGAGAATATCGTCCTCCCAGGACAATCTAGCTGGAGTGGCCACCCTGCCTTCTATGGGTTTTGATGGTGTTATTGCCCCGAAGTGTCGTCTAATTCTAGCTTGTCAAGGTCATTTGGGGATGGAAAAGAAATCCACTCTTTAAAGTGTAGGGTCTCCTCTTTCCATCTGCCTTTTTCCTGGGCTGCCTTGGATTGCATAGATATCTCACAGCAGAGAGGCCTGGAGCTTGGGGCTTTAGTGCGAGAGGGAGTGTCCCAGAGGCCCCTGGGAGGACAGATGGAGGGGTCCCACCTCTCAGGTCACCGCGGCTCCCGATGAGCCACTTCCCTGTTCTGGGCTCGAGCTCCCTGTGGGGTTGGAAACTGTCATGCCACTCATGTCCCTTTAAGAAGAGTTCACCCTGCCTCTCGTCCCGTCCTTTTGTTCCCAGCCCTGCCTCTAGTCCTCATCCCTGTGGTTCCCTAAAGAGTGACTGGAAATCTATTGGTGGCCACTTTTGAAAGGTTATCCAAACAGGACAATGACACTTTTGTTCCCAGGGCAAAAAAACAAAGGGGGCTGACACTACAGTAAGTATCACTAATTCTGGTGTCACCTTCACTGTCACTTAACCTATCTGGGGCCTGATCCTGGGGGGGGTTTGACAATTAAGACAGGTACACACAGCTCTGACCTCATTGTTTGTGTGACAAGGATTTTTCGCTGAGCTGTCAGGGGCCCCAGCAGATGCTCTTTGCTTGCCTCCCGGAAACATCTCGGAACCTTGAGCAGCCTCCCCCGCGGGCTGCAAGGGAGCACAGGCAGCCCCTGGCTCTTTGGTGGAAGCAAACCCAGCATTTCAGAAGGAAAGTGCGGCTGCTTGGTCTGCTGGCACTGCTATTTTTGACATGCTTCCTCCTTTCTCAGGGCCTGACAACCACTGTCTCCAGGAGACAGGCAAACCCGCTCCTGGCAGCCGAGATGAAGAATATGGGAAGACAGTCCGTGGCTGGGAGGGGCTGGGAGGACTGCCATTCCTTCCCTCTCTTCTGGGAAGATGCACCTGGCCTGCAGGGTCTTCGGATCTGAGGTTGGGGGCGCCAACCTCCCCAGGGATCTCACTTGGCTTTCATCCTCTCTCAAGGGAGTTGTCTTAACAAGAATGACAATAGCACCTTTCATTTAAAAAGCAATTAAATGCCTGCTGCATTTCCAGGCGTGTCCTATAGCAAAGAGGTGAGGAGCATGGACTCTGGGGGAAGATTTTCTGGGGTCAGATTCCACCTGTGCTATTTACCTGCTGGGTGACGTTGGGCAAGTTCTGAAACCTCTGTACCTCAGTTTCCTTCTCTGTACAGGGGGGCATAATAATAGTATGGATCTCACAAAACTGTTTTGAGGATCAAATGTGTTAATATGTATACAATATTTATGCAATATATAATACTATGTAGCAGTACAGTTCATTATACAGCAGTCAGCACCATACAAAGATTGGCTCTGATTATCATTATTATCCTACTGCCAATAAGTAAGGTGGGTAGACAGGGCATTGTTTTCATCCTTGGAAGATAAGAGTTGAGGCTCAGAGGGCATGTTCATTTGTGAGGCCCACAGCGCTCAGAGGGACGTAATGAACAGAGCACCGTGAGGGTCTGATTGGTACAGAGCAAGAAGAGAGAATGAACTCGTGGCTTCTAAATGTGGACATGGGCTTTCCTTTGCAGGCCAGTTTGTCTCTAATGCAAGAGCAGAGGGTGTCCTATGTTCTTTTCCTCATGGGGCTCAGAAGGCCCGGGGCTCTGCAGGTCTACATATACACATACAATGTGTGTTTCCCCTGCTACCTGAAAGTGACTGTTCCTAGAAACCATTCCTAAGCCAAACACGTAAAGCAAAGATGCAATTATCATTTTGTAAAAGCAAAAAACCGTCTTCAAATTTGTCTGACATGGACCAGGTACTAATGTAGATTCTTCGTAAACATGAAGTGGTATAATAGGGACATTTGAAGAGCAGGGGATACACTTCCTGTGCAGCATTCTGCAGAGCCCTTCCTCACCATCCTTGTCCTCTACCCCCAGGTTTAACATTCCCAGGGCATTCACTGCATGCTCCACTACCCCCTTTCCCATGCACTTCCTCACATCTGCCTCCTTGGGACAAATACAGGATCTCATAGCCAGACCTTGGGACAGAACCCATAGCTGGACCACAGCTCAGAGATTCTGTGCACTGTTCAGTGTATTTCAAAATCTCACCTCTGCTTGTCCCAGTCCCAGCATCCCCTTTGTTCCCTGGCCACCTTCATGTCCCCCTGCACCTCCCTCACTTTGCAGGTATGGGTGCCTTGGAATATTCCATGCATGTGTTTCAGCTTCCCTTTCCTCCCTTCAAGGGGGTGGGGGTGGGGAGATGGAGACCCCAGAATTGGACTCCATGTGCTTCCACTGTGACTAGAAGCAGCAGGCAGCTTCTCCTGGGGGTCCCGACTCCAGCCAGGGTACGTTACGTCCCCTGGCTCATTCCCACAGCTGCTGCAGCTTTCCTCCAGGACCCGGCCCAGGGCAAGGGAACTGCCTCCCCATCCTGAGCTCAGAGCTTCTGGGCCTGATCCCACCTCTCAGGTCACCGCGGCTCCCGATGAGCCACTTCCCTGTTCTGGGCTCGAGCTCCCTGTGGGGTTGGAAACTGTCATGCCACTCATGTCCCTTTAAGAAGAGTTCACCCTGCCTCTCGTCCCGTCCTTTTGTTCCCAGCCCTGCCTCTAGTCCTCATCCCTGTGGTTCCCTAAAGAGTGACTGGAAATCTATTGGTGGCCACTTTTGAAAGGTTATCCAAACAGGACAATGACACTTTTGTTCCCAGGGCAAAAAAACAAAGGGGGCTGACACTACAGTAAGTATCACTAATTCTGGTGTCACCTTCACTGTCACTTAACCTATCTGGGGCCTGATCCTGGGGGGGGTTTGACAATTAAGACAGGTACACACAGCTCTGACCTCATTGTTTGTGTGACAAGGATTTTTCGCTGAGCTGTCAGGGGCCCCAGCAGATGCTCTTTGCTTGCCTCCCGGAAACATCTCGGAACCTTGAGCAGCCTCCCCCGCGGGCTGCAAGGGAGCA